ATATAAAAATTTTTATATTCCAATCTAATCTTAAGGTTTTTCGTTTTTTAATTATTTTGCACATACACGGTCAAAAATATGGGTTTAATTTTTAAACCGAGCTGGGACTACTGCCTTTTTTAATATTTTATAGTCTACTTTTTAAACCAGTCAATAGCTTTAAGCAATTTTTAATATCGTCTGGTTTAAATTTTAGTCTAGCAGACGAGAAAATGATATTTCACTATGAGTGGTTTAAAAATCAAACCAAAATGTTTTAATTCTAATTTCTAGGTTTCATATATAGAAAGTTTTGTTTAAAATCTGAACCGAAATAGAAAATGTTTGCCTCAGTATGCCTTATTTTATGTGTCTCTCAGAGAGGGAGAGCAAATCTTATGAACTGACGGCAGTGATCGGACTTCTACCACATTGTGGTAGAGATCTGCCACTTTTTTGAGCATCTACCATATCTACCACACAAGGTCTGAAATCTACCACATATTCGCGTTTTTGAGTAGTTTTATTTTTGCTCGACATAATTTTCTTAATTTCAAGAGCAAAAATTGTCCAACACTAACTACAGGCAGAATGGGAGGATAAACTAAACTGTAAAATAGTAATTTTTTTTTCAATATTCAATTTTTCGACATCAAACGTGGTTTTATTGTGTTAAATTACAAAATATATGATTTATAAAAATAATAGCGAAAATGATAAAACCGGAGATTTTTGTGAAAGCATTAGCAAATTTCAGTGCATCTAAAATTTCTAAAGCGTTGTTTACTTTTACTTGAGAATTGCCAAAATCGGCAAATCCCAAGTAGCGGTTTCTGGAACGAGCCACATTTGTTCGCTACGTCGTGATGTGATAAAAAGAAAAGCTACACTGAGGGAAATAATGCATAGTAAAAATGAATACTTTATATTTGATTATCGTTTAAAAATGTTCGTATTTAAAAATAATATTTTCATACAAAATTTATTACGCACGTATTTGACTGTTCACATCTGAGAATGTATATGTAAGTGTACATACGCACCTCTAGCATGCAGAGCGCCGCTCTGAGAGCGGTGACAACACACACATACATACATAGTACAAATCGCGTGCTGTGATGTTGATGGGTATTCAACATTTGAAAGCTGGGTGTAGCTGAGTGCGCAAAGATGCTTGCCACAAGTTGTTGATATCCGGAGATGGTCGAATTCCACTGCAGGCAATATGCAAATTATTTTTTTTTTAGTTTTTGTCTTGATTATTCACTTCGCGGGTGCTTTTTCAGTATGAACGCGGCCATTTTTATATCCGCGTAATTAGATTGAATATTTAAGTAAGATCAATTACGTTTCTATTTGATTATTTTTTTTCTCAGTGTAGCAGCACTCCGCAAGGTTGCAGAAATCTTTCAAAATAGCTACGATCCAGTACTCCACGAACTTACAGGTTTTTACACGAACTTGCAGGAAGTTACAGGAAAAATGTTTCCGTACTCCGAAATCCTGTAAATGAGAGCGAATTTTGGAGAGTTGTGTAGAGAATGAAGTTGCAAGATTTTACCCGAACTTTTTCTTCTGGTAAAATAATGAAAGTCAAACGATCGGCTGTTTGACGTTTTTACAGAAAAAATTCATTTTTGTTCCCGTACTTTTTGTTTGTTACTCACTTTGTACTCTCACTTCAGAGAGAAATTTTGCTGTTTGACATTTTTACAGGATTTTACACGAAAAGTGTTGGCTCAGAGCTAATATGTTCGAAACTGTCAAGGAAAAAATTGCCAAAACTCAACGCAATTTTTAGCAACTTCAATCTTGTACTTTAATATACTAAAATTAATTTTGTTTTAGATTCTAAAGAAAATGTTGACAATTTAGGTGAAACCTTGCAGAACTTTTTTAATTTTTGTACAAAGTTTGATCCAAAACCTTAGATCTACCACATGTTTTTGAAATCTACCACATTTTTTTTTAAGTCCGATCACTGACTGCAGCATCAACACAGCGAAATGTGGTGTTGATTCAAACTCAATATATGATAACACATTTACATGCATGGCTGTAGCTGAGTGTGCAAAGGTGCTTGATACCAAGGCTGTCCGGGTTCAATCCCCATCAGACGGAGCATGATATTTAAGATTTTTTTTAGTTTTATTCTTAATTATGAAAAAGCTTTCGTGAAGTGTAACGTGAAGCAAACGAAATAGAAAATGTTTGGGTTTAAAATTTAAACCGAACTGTTTAAATTCTAAACCCAACATATATGATCTCTTTTTTTTAAACTTGGAANTTCTTAATTATGAAAAAGCTTTCGTGAAGTTTAACGTGAAGCAAACGAAATAGAAAATGTTTGGGTTTAAAATTTAAACCGAACTGTTTAAATTCTAAACCCAACATATATGATCTCTTTTTTTTAAACTTGGAAGGTTTGTATTTGAAACTGAATTTAATTTAAAGTTTAAAATTAAAACCGAAATTTTTAACCGTATATGTATGTACTAACCAGACCACAATCAGTTCGTACGCCTGAACACTTTTAAATATTTTCACTTGATACTTTTATATACATACATACTAGAGACCAGAGTACGAGTATTAGCATGATAAAAATATAGTAAGGTAGAACCGTTGAGTCACTTTTGAAATTCTTGACGTTTCCAAACAATTTAATTTTTAAATTTACTCACAAACTTACACACACATTTTCATTTTCAATCTCAAGCAACAACAATTTCGAACAATTTCAATTTTTTATTTTCACTTTTATATGATTTTAAAATGTTGACAAACTTCAAAAAAAATCATGGCCGACAAATTGAGAGAACGGTTCTACCTTGCTATGTTTTTATCATGAGTATTAGTAATCTTTTTATGAGTACAGCGATGCTTTTTTGGAATCGTATAATCGCTCACATGATGCCGATTCTGCCGATGCCACGTCGTTGGATCAGACGATTACTATTTTTACTCCGCCGTAAGCGCGTCACGAGCGAAAAAAGTTAAACGAAATGCAACAAATACACATGTTTGAGACATTGCCATTAATAATGAAATAAATCAAAAGATTTGATCTAATAATTTTGCGGCTAAACAAAAAAATTAATAAATTGTAAAAACCACCGTTATTGAACTCTTTATTTAATTTTATAATTCATATTTTATAATAGAGAATTGTGTTGGAAACGTACATAAAACAAAATTGCATCCAATCTTTAACTGTCTAAATATTTTCTTCTGCCCTATAAAATGCGCCTCTGTTTTGCCGTAAAATGTTTATTTCTAATGCTTACACGTTTCAATAAATTTCTAAGTTTTGTTGTTTTGACACATATTTCAAATCGAACTTCGCTCATAGTAAACGTCTCATATGAAAATGATAATGTGAAAAAATATCCGTTTGCTACCAAGTAAAACGATGCTTTTCCTACGATGTCAAATTTAAATTCAAATATTCGCATCGTTTCTATTCATACTCGGCGATTATTAACTTGTTATATTTTCACTTACTCGTGCAGGTCTGTAATACATACATATGTATGTACATTAGACTGCATCACCAAAAAAAGTTGCGGTTTTCCGCCGGGATTACAAAATTTATTATATTTTAACACGTCCACCAAAATATTTCGGAAAAATATTTAGATTTAAGTGAGCTGGACCGATTTGAAAAGACCTCCAAAAATGGAGTTTTTTATGAATAAAAATAGTTTCTTAAAGAACTTTTTGAAAAAAGTCCCCTCTGATGACAACACAAATTAGGCTTAAAAACTCTGCATAAAAATATTTAAAAACCTTTTCAACGGAATCGCAATAATGATATTTTTGATGCTGTTTTTTTACTTTTTTCAAAGATTGATTTACGAAAAACTTAAATAACTGGGTTATAACTATTCTGATTTAGACTTATGGGAAAGGTATTTTCCCACTATTTTTATTTATGTGAAAAAAAAGTCATTCGTGTCCCAATATTTTTTTTATTCAAATACCAACACATCTTAATTCAACTTTGAATAATGTTCGTTCATCCTACCTTTCTCTTTCATCCTTTGAATGAGTTTATTAGCAAAGAAATAAAAAGGGTGAGAAAATACCTTTCCAATGATATCTCACAAGTCTAAATCGGGAGAGTTTAGGCTCAGTTATTCAAGTTTTTCTTATACCAATCTTTGAAAAAAGTTAAAAACAGCATCAAAAATTTCATTATCACGATTCTGTTAAAAATTTAAAAAAAAAATTTTACGCAAATTTTTTAAGCTTAAACCGTTTTGTCATTTGGAGGGTTTTTTTCAAAAAAAAAATCTTTAAGAAACTATTTTTATTCATAAAAAACTCCACCTTTGGAGGTATTTTCAAATCGGTCCAGCTCACTTAAATCTGAATATTTTTTCGAAATATTTTGGTGGACGTCTTAAAATATAATAGACTTTATGATTCCAATGGAAAAACAGTACCGATTTTTTTTTTTGTATGGGGAGTGATGCAGTCTAATGTACATATATTAACAAATAAAAGTTTTTAAAACAAAGTTTGTTAATTTTCCAAAGCTTGAAATGAGGTTTCTTAGAATCAAAAGAAAGAGAAAATAACTTACAGAAACAAACAACGTAAATAGCAAGATCTTTCAACAGTCTTATAAAATGCATTTCAACTCAATACGTAGCATCTTAAAAAAATTATTGTTTAACGCTTTGTCAAGCCGCATTTTGCCTTAATAACATTTTCCATCCTTTTTCACATATTTCTATAAAAATTTGTGAAAAGAATGAAAGATTTTTTTTTTGTAAATCCTACAAATTGAATTGGACGGAATTTTTAAGATTGTTGAAAGATCTCGCTATTTACTTTGTCCTTTTTGTAATTTTTTTTTCTTTTGCAGTTAAGTCTAAAAATCACATTCCAAGCTTTGGGAAATTAACAAACTTTGTATTAATATATGTATGTATGTATATACAAGTTTCAAGTGCAAATATTAAAAATTGTTCCGGCGTACCAACTGATTGTGGTCTGGGTAGTACATATATATGTATATAAATACGCTTATGATATTCTTAACTTTAAATTAAAGTAACGCGTAATCTACAATTTTTTTCTTGTGCTTATCTGATATACTAAATTTAGCAAATGACATGCGATGGATTAAGTCTTTTCGTAGTTTCACAACAGATGCACTTAAGTATAAAGTATAAAATTGCTCTTAAAAACTACTGGGTATTAGTATGTTTAAGCCTTACTTTGCTTACACATTTCGTATAATGCATAAATGCTAATCTCTTCAATAAAATTTGTATGTGTATTGATAGCGCAACGGAGACGTTTCTTGAAAAGTATCCGGTTCGGATTCATCATCACTCGATGATGGGGGTGTCTCAAGCATCGGCATAGATAGATCCAAATACTCTTCATTAGTTGCGTGATTTGATGCCAGCTGAAGAATCTTGTCCAAATTCTCTACAATCTCCCCAAATGTCGGTCGTACGTTGGCGTCAAAATGCCAACACTGCCGCATTAGCATATATATATTGAGTGAACATCGTGCTGGCTTCTCCATTCGCTGACCAGTTATTAAGTAACTGTAGAGCTCCTCCGCAGACATAATATTGGGATAGGGCTGCTCTCCAAAAGTCATAATCTCCCACAATAATACACCATAGGACCACACATCCGATTGTGAGTCGTAGAACTTTTCTTGTAGCGACTCGGGCGCCATCCACTTGATGGGTAAACGACCGTTGGTGGCCTTTCGGTAATAGTCTGTATCCTGTATATCGCGCGCCAAGCCGAAGTCGGCAATCTTCATAACATAGTCGTCACTCACGAGGACATTGCGAGCCGCCAAATCCCGATGAATACACTGAGAATATTAATGAGTTTTAGTACAAAATTACTTTAAGAATTGTAAAATAGCTAAAAAAAAGTTAAAAAAAACTCACCCTACGTGAAGCAAGGTATTCCATGCCACGTGCAATCTGAAACGCAAAAGACACCAAATTCTTCTCAGTTAGCTGCGGCATATCCTCCAGGCAGTCGCTGCTACGCTGCAAACTCGGACTGCCAACAAAAAGTGGCCTATTCTTTTTCAGAAAGTCTTTCAGATTTCCATGAGGTGCGAATTCCACAATGACCCAAAGCGGCCCATTCTGTGTACAACAGCCCAGCAAGTTGATGATGTTAATATGCTTCCCGATCATTTTCATTACTTCCATTTCCCTTATTAAACTAGCCATGTCTGCATCCGTGTGCTCCTCTTTTACCATTTTTACAGCAACTATGCTCGAAGAGTTATTGGCGGTACGTGGTAAATTGCACGCGTCTGCCATGACTACACGTCCGAAAGCTCCTTCACCTAGCGTCGAGCCTAGGTTCAGTTGCGTACGCGGTATCTCCCAATTGGAGTCGAGCGGAAATTCATATTCATTAAAAGCTTGCGACGAATCCATGTTTGAAGCCTGAAATGTGGTACGTTGTTTCTCAATTTTAATCACAGGCATTTGGAGGTCGCAGGAACTACCCTCGGAAGAAGACGGCCTGTAGATAATAACTTTCTTGGTCCATTGATGAACCGTTTCGATGCGATGCTTCAGCAACTTTTCATGCTTCAGCTTTCGCAAAACATAGATAATGAAGATGGAGCCGAAAAGGAACAGCAGCACAATTACCATTGCTGCTACTGTCATCCAGACAGGATGTGCCCGCCACATCATGTATACTTCCCGGTTGGGCAATTTGTCAACCACATGCAAATACGCGCTTGCCATTGACTCACCCAAATTACTAGCTGCTACACAGGTGTACCAACCTTCGTCCGCATGTGTGACGTTCTCCAATCGAAGGACATTCGGTTTGTCTGGTTCGCCAGATAGTTTGATGAAATCTTTTGCGCTTGGCTGGTAAGAGTTCGCGTTGGCGTTTGCATTGGCAAACATGCGCTCCAACTTATCAATACTTTCATTTGGCGTATTGTACTTTACCCAGAATATATGGGGCTCCAGGTCGGATACGACACGACACTCAAAATATGCGCTGCTATTGGTCAAAACGGTTTGATTTTGTGGAAACTTGTCACTGTGAATGGGCCGAGAGCGCAGACGGTCCATGATGGTTAACTTGGTGCAATGTTCTATGCAACCCAGCTTATTGCATACGGTGCACTTGTAGACGCCCGAATCTTCCGCAATCACTTCGTCCATTTGCATGGACCACTTTTTGTAAGTTACTTTCCCTATATGTCGCATAATTTCAGTGAAATTTTGATCGCTGGCGCTGCGCGTCCATGTTACGTTCGGCATCGGATTGCCATTGGCTGGACAATGCAGTTGTATTGTAGAGCCAGCTGGTTTGTGTACAGTTTGAATGAGCTTATCCGCTTTTTTGAAACGTGGCGGACTTTCTTCTACCGCCTCCTGTTCATCGTTAGTATCAGCAGTATCTTTACTGTCTACATCCACATCACTAACAGTTGCTGGTTTATCGTGTTCCTTCTCTAACGCTGGGCCACCAGATGAATCGGCAGTACGTTTCTCCAGAATGAAGAATTTAGTTTTGGGGGCAATGATGGTGCTTTTCGGAAGTATGACTCGCAAATAAGCTGTAGCCATCGTTTTACCTACATCATTCGAAGCAATGCAGGTGTAACAGCCTTCGTCATCTGGCGTCACTTGCGTTATTTTTAACATGGCTGGGTTTTCTGCATTCGTCGGCAACTCAATTATATTCGGATTATTTGTGATATTCAAATATAGCTCATCCTTATTCAGTTGTTTCCTATGCATGATCCACTGAATCTGCACTGCGGTCGGTGATTCAACTCGGCACTCGAACTGCGCGCTATTATTAACCATAACCGTTAGGTTGGCTGGTGTACTGTTCGCAATAAGTGGCTTTTCAGAGTGCAGCTGACCGACGATATGCAACCGTGTGCTGTGTTCAATGGTACCGAATTTGTTACTAATTTTGCAAGTGTAACTGCCAGTGTCTATAATACTCAGGTGCTCAATAAAAAGCGACCATTTTTTAAGCCTAAAACGCAAAGAAGTCATATCCATCCTTGTATTGTTATGCCACCAAGTAATTATTGGTAATGGATTTCCCATTGCGGGGCAGCTAAATTGCACGAAACTTCCAAGCGGTTGCTGTAAACTATTTATAAGTTTGTAGCTTTGTTGAAACTGTGGCGGGCCGGGATTCGGCAGGTGCACAATTTTTAAAGCAGTCGCATTCTCGCTTTTGGAGACTTCTTCTGGTTCCGCTTCCACATTTTCCTCCACTGTACCTTTGTCATCTTGATCCATTCGCAGCTTCGCTTCTTCTTCGTCTTCCACCTTACTAAAATCAGCTATGTCGTCTTCTGTATAGGCGGAAGTCTTTGCTAGCTCAGGTGCAAGTACTTTCAATGCAACGCTAACGTACTTTGCCCCTATTGGCACTTGCTCTGCCTGGCAGCTATAGACACCAGCATTTCCCGCTTGAACTTCCTTCAAAACTAGCAGTCTGTTAGCGCTTAGGAACTCGTCTTCTTTGTACCACTTAATGGACCCTTTAAGCAAGCACGTCAAACGCACATCGGTATTCGGCGCCACTACGGCTTTGGTGTGTACAACGCTGGGACTGAGAGTGATATTGACCACGTGAAAGGTCCGCAAACTGGGCGAGCGGCTGTCAACCAAACTTTTGGCTTGCGTCAAATAAGGCGGGCAGGTACAGAAAATAAGCGTGGTCAACATCAAAAAACGATGATGTCCGCAAATGAATGATTTCAGTCTAATTTTGATCATCGCAAAGATTAGTTCGTAGTGTTTGGAATTAAATTCCTTCAATTATCGGAAAACTTATCGGCAATGCGGATACGAATTACGGCTGCTTACTGCCGCAGTCGCAGTACTGTAGTATTTACTTTCATTCACTTCCATAAAAACTCACTCGCCCTCTCACAAGTTACGGCTTCTCTTTCCTTTGTACGCGCTCATAATTACATAGCTCTCAATAATTAAAATTCATATTGGACTCAAGGGGCTTTGCAGTCACTCGTAAGTTGATGACAGTTTTTATAACTACATAAATACATCGCATTGCTACTAAATATTAAAATGTCGTCACCGTCTTTTTAGTTCTTAAGCTGCATTTACATGAGGCGTTTTTTTAGGCGATTCAACATTGCTCCAGAAAAGTTGCTCGTGTAAATGCTGGTTCAAAAATCGGTTGCCTCAAAGTAGACAGCAAGTCAACTTTTGCAGGCGATTATCGCATGTCAAAAAATCGCCTCATGTAAAGGCAGCTTTATTGCTTTAGTATCGAACGTTGAGGATTATTGGTGGTAACTACCAGCACTCCCTTCACAGCTACGCACCCACCGCAGTAAAACACTGCCTAGAAGACTAAATCCACTATTTCACCGGTGTATGTGTGCATTTTATCACCACTGCCTGAACACTGATTTATTTAAATATGAACATATTACATACCGCCATATGTATATGCACACCTACATATGTATGTACATCTATACATATGCATAAGTAAAGGTAAACCGAAGTAAGGCGGTAAGAAGGTTCGTAGGCAGGCTGTGGGGAGCACGATAGGAGAATCGAATAAAAGGAAGAATTGAAAATAAAAAAACGACGTGCATTGATTTCATAATGAGTTTTCTTTTTTTTTCTATTTTTATGTTCAATTTTATTTACGCTTGCTTATTTCAATCACTTCGTTGGCTAGCACTCGCGCGACGCGTCAGCTAACTTGGCTTAAAGAAATGCTTTCCGCAAGCGGACCGAATTTTGGCAGTCCGCATGGACGGATGATCGCAATTCAGCTGTTATGCGTATTTAAATGCACGAATCGAATTGCCCCGTTTGGTGATGTCGTAGCTACGCATATAGAATTGTATTGCGGCTTGCGCGTCGCGTCGTCTTACGTTATTTTAATTCACTCAGCGAAAACAACAGCAACAACCGCTCAAACGACAACAGCAATACATACATTTAGCGAATGCCACTAATTTATAATTGCACACTTTTTGCTAGGTTTTCCATCGGTTTGATTGCTTTTTATCTACCTACCTAAATAAATACAAAGTATGTATGTATCTATGTACATAGAAACAGATTTTTAAATAGTGCCAGTAGAAAAAAAAAACAAATAATAAGCGAAAAATAGTGCCAGCTAAGTCCACCCATATAGACAAGTTTTTACTATTTATATTTTTCCAAATTAATTTTTATAATTTTTTTTATAAAAAAATAGTTCATTCTACAACAAAAACCATATCAATCAAAGTTTAAACCCTGCTACAAAAATTAAAAAATTCAATGTTTTAACAAAATCTCAAACTTTGTATTCATTATTTTTAGAAAATGTTTGGATATGCCATTTTTTGTTGATGGTGTTGCGCATTTTTTTCACGTAAAATAAAATGCGAACATTCGTTATACGGAAGAAAATGCGCAACACCGTCAACAAAAAAGTTTGAAATTTTGATGAAACTGCTGATTTTTTTAATTTGCTGATTAATTTAATTTTTTTATACAATGTACAGGGGCAGTGGCGTTGCCAGAGGGGGCGATTTGGGGGAAAGATATAACGTATGACGATAATCGCCTGACGATCTCGTATTGGCGATTGTCCTGCTTCATGAAATCCAAAAAATGTTTGACCGTTTGTGCGATATCGTCAACTCGATTCCAATTTTGCTTCTCGTAAGAGTTTGAAATATCTCGTAGTATTAAGTAAACTTACGTTCTTGCACGATAGTGATTTCAGTATCGTTTAAAAGAAAAAACTAGTACATATTTACGCACATATTTAATTTTTTTATTTTTACTAGTTTTTTAGGACTGGAATTGAAGAGATAGCTTTAATCCTTTATCCTTCCAAGAAAAAACATATGCAAAAACATTTTTTTATATTGTTTCTGACAGTCATTTCAGCCAATTTGTTTGCCTCAACTTAAATTCCGGCAGTATTAATATACATATGTACATTAGAGTGATCCAAAAAAATAAAGTCGGAGTGTTAATGCCGGCACACCCTAGGATTGATCTATATCGAAAAAAAATATACCCCTATTTTTTATTTTGAAATCAAAAAATATTTAGGGAGTCCTCAAAGCGCTCAAAGTTTTCCATGTATTTTATATGGAGAAAAAAACATCTTTTCGTAGAAATAGTGTAAAATTCTTGAAAATCAATATTTTTCGATCGGAAAACTTTACTTATCTTCAGGAGATTTCCAGTAATAATACTCAATTGTTTCTTTAACAATTTTTTCATGGTAACTATATTTTATAGGTCCTCCAAAGCCCTTAGAAAATGCAATGGGGGACCAATAAAAAATCTTTAATCATAAAAATGGTTAAATAAACAATTGGATATTAATACTGGAAGTCTCCTGCAGAGAACCACAGTTTTCCGGTCGAAAAATATTGGTTTTCAAGAGTTTTATACCATTTCTACGAAAAATTGTTTTTTTCTCCACATAAAATACATGGACAACTTTGAGCGCTTTGAGCACTCCTTAAATATTTTTTGATTTCAAAATAAAAAAATTTGGGTATATTTTTTTCGGTATATAACAATCCTAGGGGGTGGCGGCATTAAAAATCCGACCTTATTTGTTTACTTACATTTTTGGACCACTTTAATGTATATATATTCTCCTTTGGATTCCTTAACGAAGGTGACTATCAGTAGTTTACTGAAAACTGCGCTTGGTTTTATCGAACGGAACTAATTATTCATTACTTTAATGTTTCAATTAACCACCGACATAAAATCAGACACTTTGTCAGCTGACGCGACCTATCTTATGGGATTTTTCTGCTAACTAAAACCACCGCAGGACCGCGATATTGTCATTACCCGAAAAAAGGCTTCTGTCTCTCTATCAATAGCAGTTGGATATGTTATATATAGGGAAGGGCGCTCCGTCGGTGGATAGCTGAACCATGGTCTGTGGTCAAAAAGGAATCTCTTTACAAAGTACTGCATCGTCCTTTTAGACGATGAATTAGAAGATGCATGTATTTTTTAACAGCAATGTTCTTCGAGAGTATCGTAAACGTTCAGGTATACTTTAAATTTCGCTAATATATTAAACGACTGTTATTTTATCTCCAATATTTCTCGCTACATCCTGTACTTAAGCGCCCGTTATTGTAAAGAGAATATCCATTATTGTCTCTTTACAATTCTTAGCCTGCATATCTTCCAACTTAAGCACTATCTATGGAAATTTTATAAAATGTATTCACAAATATTTTGGAAATCGTTGTTTAGCTACCTTATTGCAATAAAGTATATATAAGAATAAAGAAAAAAATGTGCTATAAAAAAATTAAAATAAAAAATCCTTGTCACTATGAATTGAACCCGAGACCAACAAAGTGGTAATCGAAAAAACCATTCGGCTACAGTAGCTATTAACCAGTGTTGGCAAAATGTTAATCTCATTAATGATTAAAAATTAACGATTAAAATGTTAATCGAGATTAACGATTGAAATTAATTAATCGTAATCATCCGTACGATTAATGATTAAATTTTTTTAATCGTTAATCGTCGGTTGTAGTTACGATTAATTACACTGGACCACAAATTTCAACTTTTTCTCTTTACCAGAAACGCCGTTATGAAATTCTTATGTAAAATCACCCCCTGATTCCGAAAATCAAGGTTATTTTTAATTCTATGGTACCGT